ACAGTTTCAAACGCGGAGGATGCCTAGGAATATCTAGGAAGTGTAATCTGCTTGAACGTACCTGTGATCCTGTAAAGTATACAACCATGACTTCACCGACAAGTGATTCGCGATAATGATATGCAAGTTCATTGTGTACCTCCTCCACAGATTCAACAGGGTCATTGTTGACGTCATGAGTCGCAGCAAAACTTTTGAACGGTAGACAAAGAGCACAACTAACTTAAACAAAAGTGCACAGCTTCAATTCAGCTTAAGTGACTAGTTCTCTTGAAGTTAGCAGCAGAGTGGCAAAGAAGCCGGCATCGAACTCCCGAGGTGTCAGGTTTGGATGCAAGAATGTACCACCTTTGTCTTAACCATGGATTCCATTTAAGCAAGTAATTTACCCCACGTTGCTTAGTGCATCCGGCTGAGAAACGGGTAGCAAATGGTTGACTTACAGAAAACAAAAACAGCATCGCATTTTGGTGGATCATAGCACAATGGGCGAGGAGTACGGGCCATGTTGACTGATGCAAGCGAACTCATGATTCCACATCTCTTTGAACCACCTGATAGCTTAATATCCTTGTAATAATTAGCACGAGATAAAACTCTGAACAATACTCATTCTGGACCCAATAAACGATTTAGAGCTCAGTTCTATGCTCCTTTGATTCTGCATCTACACCAAATAATGCTTCTTCGCCATTCCGCTGCCTGAAATATTAAAGACGATACTGCGTTATTTGACATATAAAATCACAGAAAGCTACAATAGGGAGTTCTGCACACTTTCATCGCCAGAATATGCATTTAGTGCCATTAAAACCCCTGAATATATACTTATAATGCTAGGCCCAAAGAAGCTACCTTCTCTAGAGCTCGCTTCAAAAGACTCCTATAAGAAGACACTTCGCTTGGCACATCAAATCAAATAAAATATATCGGAACAGTATTATCCCTGGCATAAGTACATTCGATTCTACGAACCTCGTACCATGTAAAACGACGGTTCAACCGGCAGACTCATCAATATGCAATACGACCTTTCTTTCCATACAGGTTGCTAACTTACATTTACGCTTCTAATCTTTTCTGCCTTACCTGCATGCGACTTTCTCTCCCTAAAGTTGTTGTTGTTTTTCATCATTCCATGAAAAACGGCAGCTTAACAGCTCGGTCTATATGCGATTAATGCTGTCCGATATGCATGAAGTAAGTTCTCTGAAGGCAAAAGCTTTCTCTCCCTAAGGTAAAGCTGACAGAAGCATCCAGAATGAATAGCATACATTTGAAAGAGCTGATTAATCATGCTGACTATTATGAACCGGTATAGTCTGACAAAATGGTATGGTCAGCAACATTCTCGCTAACGATGCATATCCTCTGTATTGTAACGTCTCGCAACGTCTGCCAAGGGTTCACTAAACCAACATGAAATACGATCAGTGCTTCTCTAGGCCAGCGTCGTCCGTTCATTATCTCAGAGACACTGAAAGCAGAAAGGCAACGGTTCATCTCACTTTGTGTGCAGACACGTTTCTGTTTGACTTGTTTCAATTAACTGATTTCTTTTTGTTGCATCTGAACTGCTCAATGACAGCTAGCGATCTCTTTCACCATTTCGCACTTGCACGCTCTCTGATCCACTCGGCGTCCTGTCATTGCTTATTACCAGGCATTGTCATCCTAACAGCATCATGGCATATTACGCTGATATATTTTTTGAAAAATAAGCGTTTTATTATCCTATTCGAGCAGCAATAAATCAAGCTGTACATACACCGTTAACTGTACTACGGGATATATTTCTTTGCTTTAATTAACTGGAAAACGGAATCTGTTGTAATTTTGTTTGAACAACAGATCCGTTAGCAACTAGTGGTTTTCACTTCCTGGTCATTGGTTCGAGGCCACAACTCGAAAGAAAGTTGCAAAATTCTTTATTCATCGACGCGCTTCGATGTCGTACACTTCCGCCGTGGTCAAGGAAATGCCATTCTAATTCAAGCAGGCACAAAACGCGTCGGTAATTAAAGGATTTCGGATCGTTCCTTTCAATTTTTTGCCTTATACCACGGATACGGAGGCGAAGACCATTACTGTCATTCAAACATATTATCCATCGATACCTCGTTCCACAGGTATTTCAACTAGTTAATTCTAACTTTCCTAGTGTTCAAACATTTCCGCTGAAATTCTGGACAACTTCTGTTCCTACCGAGGCAATTACAAATCAAATCAATCAACAGTCCGTCCTGTTTAAGTCAAAGTAAAGTTACCGCTATTCGCATACTCAGATCGAAGAAGGGAGGGAACAGCTGGCTAAATATCAAATTGAAATTCGTACCGTCCAATAAGCTCGAAACTTGCTCGACTTACTTCCAAGACGCTGTTCGTCACAGGCCACAGGATGACCAGGCGCGAGAACACCTGCACGGCAGTCGTCAGAATGGGCGATCGAACAATATGCAACGCACTGTGCACAATCTGAATTGAACACAAACGATAAGCATTCATAGTCTTTTGCACAGACAGTCGGCTACCTCCAACACAGCCAGTGTCTGGAAGAGCTTCAAGTACCTGGCGACGATCGGGAAAAGGAGGTACGGCGAAATACCGCTGAACACGTTGATCAACAACTTTGCGAATATCACCGACCAGCTAAAACAAGATTTTTCGTGAGCCGATCAGCTACGAAACAAACATGAGTTCTTACCCCACGAATAGAACTGAATTATAAAGAATCAGATAATTTTTAGCGCCAGCCATAGCTACAGACAAATAATTCGAATGCCGAAATCTGCAAGACACAACCTGAATATCATATGTACGATCAACCTGCAGGTCCATGCTCACTCTGGACCAGTAGGTGGCCAGCAGTCACGAAGGTGTCGGGTATTGTTATGAGTTCGAGTTGATAACTTTAAGCAGACAATTTTCTGCAGCGTTCTGACGTCCCTTTCTAGATCCCTCGTGTATTAAAAGTTCGCTTGATCGTTTGAACCGTTTCCAAGGTCGTGGTTCTTATCTGTTATTCGCTTGGGAGATTCCTGTTTTTGACTTTTGGCTTAACCGACGATGATACTTCTTGTCGCCCTTGCTGTGATGCTTCATTGTCGCCCTCACCTGTTTCAGTCTTTTACTAACATTTCAATTCTCTTTTCTGTTGGCTTTAATGCGTATTAAACTCAGTGCCACTAGCCTTTAACCTTTTGCTGTGCTGAAAATCGTATTCATTTACGGTTCCATTCAAGTAGTGAGATATGCATTCCTTCGTTCATTCACTCAGCAAAGGAACTACAAGCATACTGACACTAGAAATTTCGTTGAAAAATCCTGCTGAAAACGTCTCACGTTGTAAATGTTATTAAAAGTTTTCGACGAAGTTTGTACTTCAGCATCTGTCGTTTCAGGGTTGTAAAGCTGTTCAAAGATGTAAAGATGTTTGCGACGATGTTAGGAAGGCCGTTTCACAAAATTGCCGATATAACATTGCATTTGAACTTTGCCTTTGCCCCCGAAGATCTGTTCAGGTTAGTAATTTAGTTTCACTGCTTCGAGATTATCATAACTGTTTTAAAACAAACAAGTAGCTAGTTGTTCAGAGTCACCGGGAAAGTTTTGTTACGATTACCGCATATCCTTTCAGGTCGCGGAGGCAGATGCGTCGGACAGTGCTTCCAACTTTCCGAATCCTTGCCAGCGGCTCAGCTTCCGCAGAAGATAACCTGAGTCTGGAACAGAGTCCATCCACAAACTTGCTCCAGACTATTCTTTGCCGTGCCCTGAATTACCTGAGTTTTGTTGTTTAGTCTTAATCATGTTTAACCGTTGTACTAAACTACACACTGCTGCAGATTCGCATTTTCATATTACGTTTTTGCTGTCGACGAAGAAAAGGTTTTTTATCGACAACGGATCTGTAATTTTCTCTGCCGTATGGATGTACTGTGCGCCGATCTTTCCCCATTCACGTTTCGGCACATAACGAGAAAGTCAAAGTGGGCTGCTTCGCTTAACTGAACATGTCGTGTCATTGTCTATTCTCCGAGGGATATCAAAATTTAACTGCTTTTGATGATTCCATGTTTAAGGAATCTGATTGTAATATTAAAGCGATTCATGCGTAGTTACGAAGTAAAGACGTCTCCAAACGAATTAGACAGTCTCGTGTGCAAGAAAGGTATTTTGCGAAAACAGGAGAAAGCTGGAGTTACATACGAGACGGACTGCTTCCCTGGATACAGTTTCACGGTTGCATTGGAGAAAAACAGGAAACAAAAATATGGCGTGCTTCTCCAGCGGGCCTGAAAAGGGATTTATAATGACAGACTATGACATACTCATATCATGCTATGCAGCGTGATGCGAAAAGAAGGCATTTGAAAGCGAGAAATTTTTTAGGACCTACCAGACGGGATAAAGTACACAACCCATAATCAGGCAAGACGAAATTTACCCGATCAGCTATGTGTCGCTGCTTTTGTTGCGCAATAATCTTGTTAAGCAAACCCGTTAATGAAGAAAGACTTGAGGTTACTGCGTCGAGTCGTGTTGCTAATAGCTAGGATTAACAGAATGTCTCCTGAAGAAATTACTAGCCGCATCGCGAAAATAACAATTGCAGCTTCCTGTCGCCTAGGTCGTAGCATGCCAGATGATGACAGTCACTCGTTGTACCTGAAATTGCACCGCGCACTGTCCGTACATCAAGGCACCCGCATCCGGTTCAACATATTTCGAGCTCAGCAGATCTCTACCCGCGATCCATTCTACCTTTCCTGGCCAGGACTCTGAGACAGCCAGAGCTGCAAAAACAATTATGTGTGCGTAATTTTCTGACTTGTCATTGACCTGCTGTATGTACATTTACAGAACCTGTTTAATGCTAGAGTAACGGATGCGCTTATGCTGGTAACAACAGTAACTGCATAAGCAAATAAACTTGACTTGATCTCCGAAATTCCATAATTACTTTTTTATACCTTGCTCGTATTTCAGTAAGCTTTACCCACGTTTGCGTTCTTAACGTGTAATTTGAATGCCATTTTACTCCATTTCAATCGAAAGCACGATTCCGGCACTGATTAAAGCTCGTCATGCAAACTGGAGTAACTTTATCAAATTTAGCCCATTCTACAAATGGCTTGACATCTTAAAATTCACAATCGTTGTTGATCGTGATTAGAAATCAGCACTCTTTGCACACTGGTTGAATAATAATGTACTTGAACAGTAAATAAAATGTTCTGCAAGTGTAATGGAGGTTTGTGAACTGGAATTTTGAACCCTTGCCTATTTTCCTTGGTAACTTCGTTTAAAGGACACATCAACTACCATAATATACTAGCTGCAGTTTACATCGATATGAACTAGAACAGGGCTCGATGGAATGAAAACGCCTCAAACATCACATTGCACACCTAAATTATTTAGTAGTCATTTAGTGCCTTCTGCTTGTCTGAAAATGCAAAATTTTACCTGTAGACAGAACGCGGCGATCGTTTGAATCAAATCAAGCTCGGAGAATGTTCCCAGGCATTCATTTCACTTACTGATGTCAAGTTAAACGGCATGACGACCATATTAGTAGCAATTGCGGCGTTGTCATGCACCTGAAAATCTGTAGGTGACAAGTTTAAAAGTCTGTATGCATCACACTGTAAGTATTCCCAGTAGTTTTCGCTACATTTAACTCAAGCGCTTTCGAGATAGAGTTGTGACTCATTTTGGTGACAGCGCTTTGATACTGAACCTAATCAGACAATTGATGTATCATATACATATTTCACATAGGAGGGGAATTATGCAGTCACTTATGAAGATGCCGAACTATAGTGGTGAAAGAACGGACCATACTCGAATTATCTCATCCGATCACATGCCTTCGTCCGATTTGTGTTTACGGGCGAAAATGGAAGAATTAGCTTCCTAGTCTGCCTGTGAATTGCTGGGATTAAATCGCTAGTGACAGTAAGTTGCACATAAGAAAAGATTGTAGCGGTTGGAATGTTTGCCTTACACTTTCATGGTAGAGCCATTTCTAGCAACCTTATTTTCGTGAAGTTAATGGTAAGGCATTGATTTCCATTTCCATGTCATCAGTCAAAAGTCTCTTATTTTAATCGAGAACTGCTGTGTAGCTTGCGTAGCGTGTAGTCTGTTACCTTCCCACAGAATCGTACTCAGTTATCTGCGTTGGCAGAAACAAGACAAGTGACCTGTCCTTCTTTCCAGCGTAGATAATTGAGTACCCCTCTGTGGGGACGTACCGAGAGGTCCTGAGTTCGACGGCGCCCTACCGACTAAGCAACCCTGATCATAAATGGCTCACTGCTGATCCCGCGATGCTATACTGAACGCACTGCTAAAATCGAAGGATGTCAATGCCTACAGTGCAGCTGTCGCTATCAAGTCTTTCACCTGTTTAGTTGCGTGTATTTGCACATATCGTCGATTCAAGTTGCAGCTTGTCAGTTACTTAGACTTTGCTCTCATCTTATTCTGATCGTTTCTTAACAGTTATGTTTGTTGAGTCATTATTTTTAGTTGTTTTTCACTCAATCCGTTTCGTTGAACATTCGCCGTTTCCACAAAGCAGACGCAATTATGCAATCAGATGCGCGATAATATGACATACGAGAGATGCCCAGAAGCACTCTCTTGGCAAATCTACAGGGTTGACCGCTGATCAATTTTATCGATATATAGAAGATCTGGCGTTGTGCCGCCTTGAATCTAAACCGCACGACTTGTGTGTTTTGCGAAGAGTTGGCACAGTTCAAAAGACTACCTGAAGCAGCTGCCCCCGCGACCGGAAAGAAACGGTCATGATGATAAGCATACGTCTACCAATTTGCACAGCGTTATTGAGCCGCACCTTTGCTCTTGCAGGCTTCAGCGGTCATTTGAACAAGCCATTGCTTCATGGCGTTTTATTACTTCTAATAATAAATGAATTACTGACGTAATGCATATAATATGGCTTTTAGTGACTAGAATAGTCAGCCTTTTGCTCGTGCTTTAGAAGCCTTTGAAAATAACAAAATGTGCTGGAACGGCAGAATCGTAGAAATAAGCATAATTGCACCGGCCCCTTGTTTTGTGGCATTGTAATACCAGCCCCGCGCTTTTAAAACCCGAAGGGAACAGAAGGTGAGGTAAGCACCACGCTTCCATAGTGTTTCAGCATCAGCAATGCATATATGTATCTTCATCATCTTATCTGTGAGGATCAAAAAGTTTGTACTCGCTGAGATATGCCTCTCTGACACTTACGTTTACACCTACTTAGCATTCTGAGGGCCCTGTGTGTATCATTCTTCTTTCATGGAGCTTATAGGGCGTTGCTGATATCCTTTTCGGTACAACTAGCAAGCACGCCATCTGTGTGCAAGTAATATTCACATCTGTTCGTAAAGCACGTGGTAGTCATTCATCTACTTCAGATGGGTCAAAGGAGAGTCAGCCACTCAGGTTTCGGCAATCGAACCCGCTATCTTTTAAATGCGAGTCTCGCATTCTGCCTACATAACTAGCGTAGCATTACATCGCGATCTTCTTTAAGAAGAGTGTTTCAAGAGCCAGTACGCTACCGCTGTTTAGCCAACAATATCATGAAGTGCCTTCGAATCTTTGTAATATGCTAATATGCATAATTACACCAAAAGTCACGCTCTGTTTTATACCACGCTATTGCTCCTAGATATATAGAAAACCATTTAGAGAGACCACGATTCCTTCGTATTCTCCCGACTGTAGTGTACTGAAGGTACAGTACAAAAATTCTGTGTAGACCAACGCATTCCCGGCATTGAAGCCCATGCTGCAGCAAAATCTAAATTCGCTGT